CTTTCTACTTCAGGCTGTCCCTGAACTCACTGTAATGCCTAGGCTGGCATGGAACTCACAGCACACCTGGCACTAGTACATCCTTTTTAAAAAACTATTGACTCCCTGTTTGTGATGAGGATATCCCTATCAAACATCCTTTAGAAAGGAGCTCTAGGGCCAGGGAGATAGCTTGGCAGTCTAAGCACCTGGCTGGCAAGTACAAGGACCTACGTTCGATTCCTAGTACCACATGCCGTACCGGCCCTGTGCCAAGCTGGTCACTGAAACCAGACATGGTAATGCACACCTATAATCCCAGTGCTGAGGAAGCTGAGACAGGAGGATCACTATGAGTCCAAACTGTAGTGAGACCCTGTATCAAATAAATTAATAAAAAGATTTTTTTTTTAAAAAAAAATCAAAAGGAGCTCTAGAGGAGAAATAAAACTTGGAGATGTAGAACAAAATATATCACCATTAGGTCTTCACATTCAAGAATGAAATCATAAAAACCTTCCTTTTCAAAAGTGGAGTATCTTGGCCCAGTGTAGTCTCAGCAATTGGGAGGCTAAGGGAGAATTCCTGAGTCCAGGAGTCCAGGCAACATACCCTACCTCAAAACTAAACAAAACCCACAGTCTTTTAAAAAAAACAAAAATTTAATCTTTTTATTTATTTATTTGGTACAGGGTTTTGTTATACGGGGCAGCCACAGGCACAGTATGTGGTGCCAGGGATCAAACCAGGTGCTTGCACTAGCCAGGCAGGACCTCCCTATCCTAAAACTCAGTTTTATAACACACAAGGAAAATTGCTTTCATGTTTCATTAATGTAATTTTCAGTATGGAATCACTCAAAAATTTCTCCTAGACTAAGAATTGAGTTTGATTATAATAGAACATATTCATGTAGTCTAACTGCTGGTAACCAGGGCCTAGGTATTTAGCACATTGATAGAATGTTGCCTAATAAGCTGGAAGCCCTGGGTTCAGTCAGAGTTAATTAAGAATTCTTCTGTTTTAATCCTTTGATCTTTTCTTTATTCTTTTTGTGAGTTCAACCTTTGTCAGCGAAGTAGTATTTTCATTTTCCTGATATTTGTAGAGTAACACTGTATAATACCATAGAATATGCTGTACAAACTATTATAAGTTATGGAGTCAAAAAAAATAAGTTATAGAGGCCAGGGAGATGGCTCAGTGGAATAAGCACTTCCCTGGCAAGCGCAAGGGCCTGAGTTCAATCCCCGGTTCTGCAAAAAAAAAAGAATAATAATAATAAAAATAAGTTATAGACTCTGAGAAATTATATATCTCAAGATGAAAAATAGCATTTATAAAGCTTACGTGGTGGGTAAAGCTTTCTGAATGTTGTGATTCTCTGTTTCCAAAGAGTAATGAGCCTCATGAAACTATGCCCATCGCTGCTTTTGGACAGAAACAGCGGCCTTCTCGGTTTTTTATGACCCCACCACGGTTACATTATACTCCTCCTCTCCAGTCTCCAGTTACAGTAAGTAAAGTTTTAGGAACACCATCAGTATCTTAATTATTATGAATATGATCTATGGTCTTATGAAATAAATATATATTATATTAACTTCATGCACTACCTATATTGCTTTGAGTTGTCAAATGTAAAATAGTTCAACTCTGGAAATATTTTCCTTTTTACTGGATTTTAATGCATTAAATGTAATAGAACTTTATCTAAAAATGAAATACTTTCTTTTAAACAGTGATTTTCTTCTATTCCTATAGGACAGTGATCCTTTATTAGGGCAATCACCTTGGAGAAGTAAAATTTCTGGCTCTGACACTGAAACACTAGGTGGTTTTCCAGTAGAATTCCTTATTCAAGTGGTAAGCAATATCTTGCTGTTTATTTAAAGATTTAGTGTCTTTTGTGGTATTAAAATTTATGTAGGGGGGCCAGGGAGATGGCTCAGTGGAATAAGCGCTTGCCTGGCAAGCACAGGGGCCTGAGTTCAATCCCTGGTTCCACACATACACACACACACACACACACACATATATATATATAGTATTTTTATCTTACATGGGTTTTAAAGACTGCTATTTTCAACAAAGCTTGAAATGAAACCCAAAAATGACTCCAAGTTCTTTGTTGACTTTCTTTTCTAGGTCTGAAAGTGACTGGTACCACATGCTATGGCATGCAGTGCTATATGCTGGCCACCAAAATTCGGCATGGTGGTGCATGTCTGTAATCCCAGCACTGGGAGGTTGAAAAAAGATGATCACTGTGACTCAAAGCTGCATAGCAAGACCCTGTACCAAATTAATTAATTAATTAATTTA